AATTTCAGGAGAGTCCTTTTACATTTATACAATACAGTTTTTCAACCGTCTACTCACAGTCTGGCTGGCGGCTGCCTAAACCTTTTACACAGCGAAAACATTTTTAGGATCATGAATTTTTCATAAAAAGAAAAAAATAGTAACTGTAGGGATTTAACTTTAGGGATTCTTTGCAAAGGAAACAGTGGATTAATGGAGGGGATTTTAAAAATTGACAAATTGGGAATGAAAATATGTGCAAGAAGACATAAGTGAAAGCTATTTATGTCAAAACAAATCCTTTGTAAAGTTCTTATACATCCAACAAAAATTCAAGGAACACAGTTAAAGTATTTGAAAATGGAGTGTGTGGATTATTTGCCGAGCTGAGTAGTAATTTGTAATCTGCTGTGTCTTTCCCTGATGTGGTGTTTGTGTTTCCTGGTTCCAGACGGGGACGTGTTCCAGGAGGTGGTGGTGGAGATCGAGCGCTCCCCCCGTCGGAGGCCTTTTCTGGGGGGCTACAGGCACCGGCGCACGGGGGTGGAGTTCCACCACGCCGCCGTGCAAACGCTCCCGAAGAAAAGACCCGACCGGGGCCTGCTGCAGTTCAGCCGCGGATCCCAGGTAAGAAACACTAGGACTTAGGAATATTTATGTCACTAATCAGAATCAGAATCAGAATCAGAATCAGGTTTATTGCCAAGTAGGTTTTTCACCAACAAGGAATTTGATTTGGTGTTTGGTGCACAACACTTCTATGAGAAACAAGAAACGACATACAATGTAGAAATAAAAATATAAAAATATAGAATAAAATAAAAGAAATAATAATAATAATAATAATAATAATAAATAATAAGATAAAATATTGAATGTCCAACGACAAACCAGGAAATGTTGAACGTAGTATTGGGTAAATTAGTGAGGTAGAGGGGGGTGAGAGAAGAATAGGTGGGGGCCACTGGCCTCGTTGATGAGGCCAGTTGCTGCTGGATAAAAACTGTCTCTCAAAATTCTCAAAATACAAAAAATAAAAAGTATTGGTAAGCCTTTTAAACCTGGAGAATTAATCTAAATGGTCAAAACAACAAATATCTGGTGAGTATAAAATTTGGGTAGTATAGAATTTGGGTAGAATAATTGAAAAACTTTGACTAATAAGTCATTTTTAGATTTAAATCTCGATTGCTAAATTTTGATTATTGACTGGATGATCGATTAGGAATAGGGAAAATGAGTGAGCCTACTTATTAGAACTGATATTTCAGTTTCATTCCTCTACTCGCGATATCTAATCTTATAGGGTATTTTAATGTTTTGTATCTCCAGTGAATTTTAGTGTCTTCCAAAGAAAGTTGTACCCACGGTTTACGATTTGGATATTTTTATTTATATTTTAATTTTATCTTTGCTTGGGTTAAGCTATATAAGTCATTTTTAGATTTAAATCTCGATGACTAAATTTCGATTATTGACTGGATGATCAATTAGGAATAGAGAAAATGAATGAGCCTACTTTTTGGAACTGATAATTCAATAAACTGATATTTTCACACATGATATCTAATCTTACAGAGTATTTTAATGTGAAAAACTGTCAGATCTGTAAACAAAATCAAGTCAGAGTTAATTTTAGAGTCTTCCACAGAAAGTTGTACCCACAGTTTAGGATTTGGACATTGTTATATATGTTTTATTTTTCCTTTGTATTTTTATCTTTGTTTGGGTTAAGTTATATGGGTTAAGCTATGGCAAAAGTTCTGTTGTCAAATGTGTGTTTAGATTTGCCACGTTAAAGAATTTTATGAAGTTTGCAGAACGAAAAGAAGCAGAAGTCCAGAGAAACCCTTTAGAAGACGTACAGTGGGGTAAATAAGTATTTGAGCCCTTGCTGATTTTGCAGGTTTGCCCACTTAC